CCATAAAATTAAAACTATATTTCTTATCTCGATTGTTAATACTTTTTAATCACTCAATTTCCCTTTTTTACGAATTCTCAGCTTTTTAAAATTAGAATCTATCTTCAGGATTCTGACACAAACGCCAACAATCTTAACAAGAATAAGACTAAGAACAGAATAAATGATGTCATTAAAGTCCTTTTTTAATTAAATAAAGGTCTTAACTACCAAATTTTGTCTGCGAAGTACCTGAAGGTAATTATTAGATACGCACCTATTTTAACTTAAGCCTTTATCGAAAATTGGGAGTCGTTAATGTCTCGTCACAAACAACACATTGCCTCCATCCGGCAATCCAACGGGACCTCCATCCGGTACCCGAACTCAACACACACATTTAAATATCACACATCACTACATTTGTTGTGTAGTGGTATCCATCCATCAGTATTCATTACTCGAAAGTAGTATCCACACATCACTACATCCCTTGTGTAGTGGTATCCATACTGATGGCAGTATTCATTACTCGAAAGTAGTATCCACATAACACATCACTACATCCCTTGTGTAGTGGTATCCAGCCATCAGTATTCATTACTCGAAAGTAGTATCCACACATCACTACATCCCTTGTGTAGTGGCATCCACAACAAACAAAACACCCTGCAAACCCTTCCAAACACAACCGCTCCAGGAACACATTCATCCGGCACTACATGAAACAATACCTGCATTGAGCATCCCTGCATAGTGACATCCGTTAGTATTTGAACGCCACAATCCACGTTGAATGAACCCATACCTAATAATGCCACCAAAGCATGAAGACGCTTGCCAGGAAACCCCTGTGCCAAACTTTCCTTAACTAGAGAGCACTGAACACCTGAATCAAAACAAAAAAGAAATCTCTCACCGGATTCAACCTCCAAACACGTGCGCATTGTCTTTACACTTTTCTTGAATAGCACAGGCACCTTCCCTACGTGGGGCGTTTGAGTTGCATCCCAATTCTGATGTCGGAGAAAATACACTCATTGGGGGTACTTCGTCATCGGATTCGTCGTAAACGCGGTAAGTTCGGTACGGGCTGGCAGAACAACCGCTCACCCTCGTGTCCAACTCAAAAGTGACGCCTGTCAAATGTCAACATGCCACGCCCCGTACCGACCATCACCCAAGCACACTGCTTGACGTTTCCGACAAATGATAACAGATGGCGTTGTTCTAAAATAACGATACTCAATAGTTGTGCATCTTTGTTGATTCTGCGACAAATATATTTTTTTTTGTGTAGGTATTATAATTTAATGTATTGCCGTGTTAAACTTTAATTGTCTATGTTTTAATGGTTATTTTTTGATGGCTTACCGCCGTACTCAGAGGCTGGCTACTTAGCCCAGTCCTTAGCAATTGGTGTCGGAACAAAATCGTTACTAAGGAATAGTTTTAGTAATCGTTAATTATCTCTGAGTATCGCAGTAAGTCTAAAAAGTAGGAATCTACCGATTGCCGGGCAATGGGTCTCGGGTTCGATTCCCGGGTGGGGCAAAGTATTAATGGGTTTAAAAAGAAATCTCAGTGGTAGCACGTAGTATATGGCAATAAGCTTCCCCCTATTAAATGGGACTCATAACATAAATAGTGAAAAGTGGGTGTTACATTGTACAGTGGCATAATGTGCACCTCCACCTACCCCTTCGAGGATAATAGGCGTGATGTTATGTTATGTCAAAGTAGGTATCTTTAGTTTCATGAGATCCTCGAGAAGAATATAATATTTAAGAAATGTATTTTATTCTGCTGTCACTACTCGGCTAGTTGATATTATAATCTAATAGTAACTATGCGTTCTTGGCAATAAAATATGAAAAATTAAGGGAGCAAACTTGTACTTAATAAAGAAAAGCAAATTAGAAGTTACCGGCCAAGCTAGGTTAACTGTGAGCTCAGTTTACTATTTCACTTAGCTCAGGTCAGTTTATTAGAAGAACTCACATTCTTTAACTTTTTAATAAAATTTCTAGTGTATTGTAAATTCTGGTGCATCTTTGACCTATTTCAGAGTGTTTACTCATGAAACTTACGTCATTTAATATTTAATATCAATCTAATTAAACCTCTATAAGCATTGTATGTCAACATTATACAACCTCAATCGGAGCTGTTAAAATAGCATTCAGAGTACGAAATATACATCATCACCATCATCATCATCTACAGCCTATAAATGCCCACTGCTGAGCAAAGCCTCGTCTCACACGGAGAAGATTAGAGCATTAATCACCACGCTTGCTCAATGCAGGTTGGCGACTTCAAATTTATAATTAGAAATTATAACCCCAGGTTTCCTTACAATGTTTTCCTTCATCGTTTGTCAGTGGTGTCTAAATAATCTTAGAAAGTACACAAAGCACCGCTAATTGGTTCGAGGCGCTACACATCGACATTACTATCATTTACACAGTGAACATGTGTGGGTAATTTCATATTAATAGATATGTATAGAAACATTCGTTCTATCACACACATCTTGGTATTACATATCATTTTTGTGTCGGTATACGTAATATTTTAGTAAATAAGTTTAAATAAAAACGAGGGTAAAGATAAAAATACTCATAACAAACTTTGAATAAATCGAAATCAAAAATAATGAACGATCGAGCAATACAATACTTATATAAATATAGTGCATTCTCATTGTATTTTTATGTTACTGAATGATATACAATATTTCGATGTTCTCATCTACGGCGCGCTTGGCGCAATGGTTATCGCCTCCAGTGGTCAAGTAAAGTGCCACCGGATCGATTCCAGCATTCACATGTTGTTTTAGTATTAATTAATCAAATATTTGAAATGTGAAATTAGAAACAATTAAATCTTTTCTTTTTTTCCTATCCTATTTTTCTAAATCTTATGTTAATTTTAATAGTAAATACTTTAGATTTATTTATACCTATAATATCCTTTATTTATATTTTAGTTCTAGTTATTTATTATTTAGAATAATTTAGAATGATTGGAAGAACTTTAAAGTTAACATGTGGTATATAATTAATTATTAGATATAAATATTGAATATAAAACCACATATTTGTATAATTAATAAATTAATTTTAATAAAAAATAGTATTGTTTTATTTACCGACTGATTTGCTTCTTTTATAGCCTGATATTTATATTATATGACAAAAAACAAAAAAAAAATAAATAAGAAAAACAACAAGGTAAAATAAAAAAAAACTTTTAGCTGGAATAGAACCCACATCATCATTGATCCTTGAAAGACGATAAAAGCGTACTCATTAACCAATCGACCACGAGCACTACGATAATTACAGTGAAAATGTCGGGTCATATCAATGATTGTAAATAGTTTTAACCTTACCCATGCATTAAATTATAAAAATACGTATACCGACACAAGAATGAAAATACCAATGTGAACGTGGTGGACGAATATTTTTATACACAGTAATATGAAATTACCCACACATGTACATTGTGTAAATGACAGTAGTGTCGATGTGAGCGTTACGAACTAATTAGCGGTGCTTTGTGTACATATAACTCGGAAAATGTTACATTGGTACTTGCCGTTGGTAGGTTTCGAACCCGCACCCTCATGCATGAGAAGCAGGCGTCTTAAACCTCCGAGCCACCACGACATGAAATATACCGCCAAACTCAATACCATTTAGTTCATTCAACATGCACGCGATACGGATGCAATGGGCGCTAGTGTTGAAACTTAAGAGTACTAAATTTTACCATTGTCAATTTTGATCGATTAGAATTGGATTGAAGAGGATGCTACAGGTCCGTTTCCCATGTTAGGCAAAGTGATATTCTAAGTTTGGAATTAGTCCTCATATCAATATGGACGACAAAGTCAAATTCAAAATCATTTATTTCAATTAGACCAGAAAGGCACTTTTGAACGTCAACAAAAAAATTAAAAGTGAAGCTATTTGCTCTTTCCGAGGTGTAGATTCCTATGGAGAAGAACGAGCAAGAAACTCCATAGGAATAGGAAATAAGGCATAATAAATACCCTTTGCATGTGACTCAGAACATAACAAGAAACATTAAGAGCTGTATTATTGCAAGTCTGCCTATCCCTTCGGGGTTCAAAAGGTGTAGTGTATGTTTTATATCACATTGTAAATACAATAAGAATAATAATTTTATTTCTACTATTACCACAATACCACATACTTCATAAAACTGTCATTCCGTGCTTAAAATTGTAATTTTGCATGACCTAAATTCATAAATCAGTTCAGATAGGAGAGTTTTCCTGATAATCGTTATTTATGTTTTATTTACATTTGTTTTTTGAAAATAAATTATGATATAAAATGGGTATAAATGGCTAATATTATCACGCGACATTAATTTAGTTATTAGACCATTGTAAAATGTACTGTATACTACATGTACCTATAATTGAATACTTTTAAAGAGACATTATTGGCATGTGTTATAAATTCGATATTTTTTAAGTTTACTGTACAGATTCTTTTAGTTATTTTTATTTATTTTTAGCCGTGGTCGTCCTACTGCAGGGTAAAGGCTTCCCTTCCCTCCTTCCACTCCTTCCATTTAGTAAAGAATTAACAAATGAAATTCATTTATCGTTAACATCACATAAAATAACAAAATTTAACACTGCTTATGCTCCTCGGATAGGGCGAGATATTTGCGACTTTAAAACTTTTTGTAATCGACACTAAGACCATTACCAAAAGGAAAATTAAATAGTATATGACACGTTACACGTTTCTCTTGTAGCTTTGGAACTGTGGAATCTGTTGTCGGCAGTATTTCTGAACCGATACGACTTTCAAACCTTCAAGAAAAAAGCGTATTAGGTACCTGTCAAAGGCCGGCAACAGACTCCTCTGTGTTTCAGGTGTCCATGTGCGGCGCAGATCGCTTATCATCGAGGTAATCCAGCTTCTCCTTTGCCTCCCATTCCATAAAAAAATTAAAAGTAACCGAACAGCAAGGTTATGAAAACATGTTTAATTGTTTATTAAAAAGAACAATTCATATCAATCAATATTAAAGCATTCAAAATAAAATTACAATTCTTCATGCTCATAGTGATCAATATCAACGTCTACATACTCAGATTCATTCGATAATAACCTATGAAACTCCTTATTAAAGTAATCAGATATCATATTCCATACATTAACAGAATACCATACAATTACACTAAGAGAAAATATCAACCGAAACATGAAACCAAGCATTTTGACATAAATATTTTAAGACCATTAATAAGTCAACATCACACACTTTAAAATACTTATAATTAGTTTAAGTAGTTGCTAATAACAGGCTTCTAAAAAGCTATTAAAGTTTAATTAAAACAACAAATTAGGTCTTGACATCGAGACTGGTAACAATCAAATTCTTTTATGTTTAGAAACCTTAACTATAAAAAATTTAAATAGAAGATCCATTAACTAAACATTCAAATACTTATTTTTGTGTCACTAAAAATAAAAATTGAAGAAAAGATTTGAATCAAAGTTTGTAAGTATGATAAATCTACTAGACCAAAAAAGGTCTCAAAATATAATTTTAAAGTACCTAAACGTAGTTACCTAAACGTTTTAAACTGAGAAGTTATGGCCCACTTAAGTTTAAAAGCAGGAGAAAAGAAAGTAGCGAGCGCACAAAGAAATTCAAGTTATTAGACAAAAGTTTTGCTGTTTTAAAAGTAGCTAAATGTTTAAGACACTGAGATGAGCTAGTTGTTATAGTGTTAAGTGCACTATGCACCACATACCTTAGTCTAAACGAAATCTTAGAGAAATAGTCTTACAAAAATTTGTAGAAACTTCGTCGTAAAGGTGGGGTTTGATAATATGAGGGTTGTAAATATTCAAACGTTCACTGAATTCAGATAGGATCACCACATAAATATAGGAACACAAAACGTCAAAGAATTTGCCGTTCCGTTGCCGTAGATTCACAGTCAGATCTCTCGAGGATTCCTTGTAAATAGGTTTTACGTAATCAATTCAATCGTCGTACAAAACGTCGGTGCCATAAATCATATCCGAAACGATCTCAAAGATTGCTTGAGCGTGTGGGTAGACGATGGTAGTAAGCATCACGATACTATTTGCTATCACAAATAGTTTCATAGTCTCCAGGCCGTCTGATGATCTGAAAATGGGAAGTCAATCGTAAAAGTAACGTTAGAATCTCCAATGGCGAATAAAAACTTTTGTATAGATCTTTTATTGAGTCATTTGGAGGAAAGCGGATTCTTCATCTGATTGAAGACTCGGATGATAGATACGATATTGGGTCTTTCCTAATATTGCTCAGCTTTCATAGGTTTTTTACCACAAATGCGAATATTGAAGCGAATATTTCTGACCTAAAACCAGTTCCAATTTCTTTGGGGCTGTAATTTTGAATATAATAATTTTGAGGATTTGGACCGTATTCAAACGTTTTGGCTTAATTATTTCGCTTTTCTTCTGAAGATTATTTTGAATATTTGAGCGACGATTACAATAAACGTTTGCATTTAATTTAAATTACAATGATTTCCGACAGGAATTCATTTGTTATGGTACGCTTTGTTTGTTCGACAACGCAAAATATTTTTGTAATGTCAAATATTTGGTTATGTTTACATAAAAGCTGAAATTATTGTACTTTTTTTTATTAAAAATGCGTTATTCATTTTTATTGTTTTTTTTATTTTATTACCGAAAGTATTTATATCTACCTAAGCGTTTTGCGGCAAATAACTTCTGCGCCATAACCGATTTTAAACGATCACAACCGAACGCGTTCGTTCAAAAGCATTAGCATTCGCGTGGATGAGTCCCGAGTTACTCGAAGTGCCGGAACATTAAAGGCTCGTTTGGATCTGATAGGAAGATTTCTTTAATTTTAGTACATCAAGAGTATGGTTATCAAATTATAACGGCTTTGGAGATTCTTATGTCAGATAACTTATTCAAATAGTAATTCATTCATTTTAAAACATGCATTTAAATACATTATGTGTGATCATGTTACAAAAAATATATGGATACCACTATTGAATAAGTTAGAATTAACTATAAAAACCTTTGTTTATTGATAACGACCTTTCCCTTAATATCTCATCGAGAAATTTAAAGATTGACGTGTAAAAGTGTAACCTATTTACAGAAATAAATATCATTTCATTATTTTTTAATGACGTAGTACAAACCATAAGAAATATGAACGATCATAAAAACCCATAATTAGTTACGACTCCCCCCGATCCCATAAAAAATGAAGAATTTTTCAACGTAGGTAACTATTTACCATATGTTTGAAAGAGTCCAATGTCTGTTACCTGAGCCACCCACCAAATCCTTGTTCTTCATCGTCCAAAGAATCAACTTTTACTGGAGCCTTCTCGCTAGTCTCTGGTTCCTTATCTTCAACCTTGATAATCTTTTTCTTAGCTGTTCCCAAAGTTTGTTTGCTTTTCTTCATAATCTGTAAGTATGAAAACCACGCCAAATTAAAATAAATATGTACGTAATTTTTAGCCTGACATTGTAATTCAATAGATTCTAATTTTGTTTGTTATTGCAAATGCAAATGATATTTGAATGACGACCTTTTTCGTAAATGGTACAATTAAATCTTTAACAAGAAATGTATCAAACTTTTGTTGAGACAATCAAAACATCACATTTTGTGTAACAAAAGAAATCACAACTATAGTTGCAATCAATTACTACATTTTTAATAAAACTTCACAATCACAATACGACATTTTACCCAAAAAAACTTGTTAGAAATTTTAGTATTATTCACTTTTCAGACAGATAATTTCTATAGCCGTTCATTAGTATAAAACAACTGCGTACAGTTAGAACAAATTGAAACGAACAAAACCGATTTGAACAGCAATTTGTAGGTGCCACAAAACTGTCTGTATTGCGTACTCTACTGAACATTTCAAAAGTTTCGTTAAAAAACCATTCGAAACGCTTATCCAGGCGTAACTTTTGAATAGGCGCACCGATTTGACTGTTTTTTGCGCACTAGTTGTTAGTTGGGAGAGCCATCGTTTGTCGGTATTTGACGAGTTATGTTTATAAAACTGATTTCTTTTACATTTAATTTTGACATCCGCGATATTTTAGAATCAAATGTAAGTTAGGTCTGAAAAGCAAATTATTTTTGGTACCTACCAAATTTAAATTGCCCTACAAAGCTTTGTAAGGATCACGTTGCTTGGCAATTGAGTGGAAACCTCTTTCAGACAATAATCAAAGACAAAGTTAAGTGATGATTCCAAAGAAGGACCTGGTTTATTTAATAACACTTTGTAGGTCAGTAAGATATCATAAAAACGAACTAAATCAACATTTCTTGGTAAGAAAACTTAAAAAAGACCAGACAAAAGAAAAATATTTAAGACAAAAACGAAACAAGCCATAAAAATCCACCTTAATTGGAACAAAAAACTTCAAAGGAAACAACTTCACTGGGCGAAAGTATTAAGAAAACTACGTAACGAATACAAAGATACAAGTACTTTCCTGAGGCTAAACAAAACACTAACTGGAAGAACACCTGGGCCCCTAATCAAATATTATTTGATTCAATATTACCTCAGTAGCAAAGGGTGTGTGGTGAAGAAACAAGTGGCCCGGTCTCCTCACGGTGAACACTAACACATCTAACGAACCACATTCAGCGGGAAACCTCTCAAACGCTGATCGATACTTTACTTGGTGCAAGTTTTTAGGCTGAGGACTGAGATCAGCGGAAGCGAGTTGATCGATTAATTGTTTGTGTTGTGGTTGCAAATCGTTGGTGTTTTATTAATCGACTACACAGTTGGCTGGGTGCCACGTTACGTGTCGCGGGTTCGATTCCCGCACGGAACAACTCTTTGTGTAATACACAGATTGTTGTTCCTTGTCTGGGTGTCGTGTATGTGAACTTGTATGTTTGTAAACGCACTCACGACACAGGAGAAAATACTAGTAAGGCGCAATGTTTCTTTTTTAATTAACTACTTAACATGTGTGGTTACGGTACAGTAGAATAAACTTGTCATCTCCACCTCCTCCTCCTTATCTAAACGGTGATACATTGGACAAATTAAACAAAACAACAGTTTTCTCACATAAACTAAAACTATTTATTATCAATTTAAACGCCTCGATCTCCAACCGTGTGGCCAGTGCGAAGATTTTGGCAAGCCCTCCTTATGTAGAGGAAGCCCTTAGGTACTCTAGCAGAAGACTATCACACAATGTTATTTCACTGATAGAAAAATACGGCAGCTAAATCATAGCACTTAATGTCATATTATTGTCCTAACTACGAAGCTAAATGACCATTTCATTAAGCAAGCATAAAATGGCCTTATAATTTATACTAACGAGCATTAAAATAAAGAAAATATTAATTTCCGCCACTGAAACCGCACCCCAACACTTGGCTGTCGACGCTCTAACGCGATTATGAATTATTACCGCCGGGTGAATGAGTAAAATTCGGCTCTTCACCTCTCAAGGTAATTTGCAAACGGTATGGTAAAAAATAAAGTTGGAATATCTTTTCCCTGGTAGCTGTGGTATCCCATAGAATACTTTGTTATTTTATGGATGATTTTTTTTCTATTTGAATATGTTAGAATAGAATAGTAATCTTTTATATACAACTAGCTTTTACCCGCGGCTTCGCTCGTGTCACAAAAGGATAAAAAGTAGCCTATGTGACATATACCAATACACACAGCGCCATCTATACCAATAATTTCGTTTTCCCTCGATAATATACATTTTTTCCGGGATAAAAAGTACCCTATTATTGAATGCAGACTTCTAACTTTACGTCTGCAAAATTTCAAAGCAATCGGTTTAGTAGTTACGGCGTGAAAGTGGAACAAACAAACAAACAAACAAACTAACTTTCCCATTTATAATATTAGTAAGGATTGTGCACCATTCGTAAATTATAGTACATACAGACAAGCATTAAAAGTGTTTTCTTTAGGCTATAGAAATGTAAGTGGAACTGGAACGTTAATGTGGGCTTTGACGTATGCGTACAAGGTAATGTGCTTATATTTCGCGTAGAAGTTTTTATGAAACTTATAACTTTTAATCTGATTTTATTACCAAGCGTACCTTACTGTACAAGTGTGTTCATTTGCCTATACTAATCGCAATTGTAACTAAAGGCTCCTTCTCGCACGGAAAAGATTTGTCAATGCGGGTTGGCTATTTACAAAGATATAATTAGAAATTATAAGCCCAGGTTTCCTCACGATGTTTTCCTTTACCGTTTGTCTATGGTGTCTAGATAAAATCTTAGAAAGTACATATGACACGGAATAAGTCACATTAGTACTTGCCATTGGTAGGTTTTGAACCCGTAATCTCATACAAGAGAAGCGTGCGTCATAAACCTCCGGGCCACCATTTAATTAATAAAAAACTTCCCGTAATGAAAAAACAATAATCAAACGCATTGTTACTTTTCGTCCAAATAAATTATCTGTTTCACTTTTGAACTGTCGACATCATTGATACGGCTAATGATACCGGATTATAAATGCAATCATGCGCCATAATCATCTCTCTCTCTGACCGAGCTCTATGCGTATGGTTGTGTGGTAAATTATTTGTGTATCAGTTAGACTATGTGATCGTGAACAGACTACCTAATGGAACTGATTATTATTAAATCCTTTGGTATTGATTGTCTGGCCTCTAGGTATTTGCTAATTAAATCATCTGATTAGGCATTTTGAACCTTAAGCATTCACTAAAAATCGCGGGTTACTCATGTTAATATACTGAGAAAAGCTTTACTAGTTTCGAAACTCAGAGGGGTTCTTCCTCATGAGCAGCATGCGCGGTCGCGACAATGGCGCACAGACTACTAATACAGTCTAGTCTAGTCTACTGATATAGCCGCTCACGTGAGTAACCCGCGATTTTTAGTTCATTTAGTATGTCTCACGATAGTTATTATAAAAACAAACCTTAGGTATGTTATTTTTATGTCATTTTTGTTAGTATCGGCCTTTTTGAGGCAAAATTATAATATTTAAACTGACAAACACCAAGCGGTCACCGGTGACCGCAACCTAGTGTTCTATAATTGTGTCTATAATGACGGTACTTGACGAGTTAAGATTCAATGCCAATACTACTAAAGAGTGCTTAGATATAATATCATAATGTCACAAAGTTCTACTATCATAATAAGAATGGAGTCGCTAAACTCATTAAACATTGAAAAACATTTGACCTGACTGTGGTCCAAATAAATAATATTGGTTACATTATTATCTATCTTTAGTCCCATTAATGGATTCTAAATGGTACTCATTGGAGATATTAATAATCACGAGGACGTTAATTGAAACATTAATTAAAGGATGAAACATGTATTAAAGGTTTATCTTAATGTTTGAAGATCAAAAGCATTAACAAGATAAAAATTAATTAATCTACGTTTAGATAGAATATCGTGGTCACCAGAGGTTTAAGACTTCTCATGCATGAGGGTGCGAGTTCGAAACCTACCAATGGCAAATACCACTGTGACTTTTTCCAAATTATATGGACTTTCTAAGATTATTTAGACAGCAATGACAAACAGTGAAGGAAAACATCGTGAGGAAACCTGGGCCAATAATTTCTAATTATAAGTTTGAAATCGTCAACCTGCATTGAGCAAGCGTGGTGATTAATGCTCAAACCTTCTCCGTGTGAGAAGAGGCTTTGCTCAGCAGTGGGCATTTATAGGCTGTTGATGATGATGATGATGACGTTTAGATTTATCTAAAACTACTCTACTAAAAACTATTGATCCTATTGATCGTAGTGTGATGTTTTATAGCCCATAGCTTCAATAAATGGACTATCCAACACAGAAATATTTTTTCAAATTGGACCCGTAGTGCCTCAGATTATCGCATTCAAACAATGAAACAAATTCTTCTGCTAATGTAATAAATATGATTACTAAACTATTATAATAGTTATATTAGAGGTAGTATAATAAACTGCCTCGTTAGCCGAGTGGTCGCAAGTGCGACTGCGGGCATAGTGTTTCGGGTTCGATTACCGAGTCGGGCAAAGTATTATTGTTTTTTTTTTCTTTTCAGTAGTAGTACCTACGAAGTGTGAAATTGTGCCTGGTATATGGTAGTAGACTCACCCCCTAATACATGGGAGTCATAATATCAATAGTGGAAAATGGGTGTTACATTGTACAACGGCATAATGTGCACTTCTGCCTACCCCTTCGGGGATAAAAAGCGTGATGTTATGTAATGTTGTTATGTTATATATTATGCACACACTTATAGCAGGTATTGCATACGTAAAAATATAAGAACTTAAAAAAAGTGTTTTGTATTTTTATCGACCTGTCCTCAGTTTTATGTCTCATACAAAACAATACAAACAATTTTAATAAAATAAATCTTAGCGACATTGCCATTTCAACAATTTAATCTGCCCTTTCGTAGGCTGGGGAATTAAATATGAATATTAGAGTGCTGATAAAATTTTACATATCTATCGTGTTGGACCATTTATTGTAGATTGTAAAAGTTACGATTTATTATTATTTTAGTATTTGTCTGCCTCGATAAAAAGGAAACTTTTTGACGAGCCGCGTTTGAATTCCGATCTGTGCAAACTATTTTGATATGAGTACACGTTTTTTTTTTTATTGTTAAGGTTAAAATATTGTTAAAACAGTTAATGACTGCACGGTTGGCGCGGTGAGTGGACAACTGGCTGTCACGCAATGTGTCGTAAGTTCAATTCTAAACACTTGGACTGTGTTTCTATTTCTATTAACAATTCTAAACACACAAACAATTGGACTGCACGGTTGGTGCGGTGGCTGGGCAACTGGCTGCCGTGCAACGTGTCGCGGGTTCGATTCCCGCACGAGACAACACTTTGTGTGATCCACAAATTGTTGTTTCGGGTCTGGGTGTCATTGTGTACGTGAACTTGTATGTTTGTAAACGCACCCACGACACAGGAGAAAATCCTAGAGTGGGGCAACGTTTTTTAAAAAAAAAAAAAAAAACAATTCTTTCTGTGATCCACAGATGGTTGGTCCGAGTCTGGGTGTCATGTGTATGTGAAATTGTATGTTTTTGTTCCGAATCTGGGTATCATGTGTATGTGAAATTGTATGTTTATAAACGCACCCACAACATGGGAGAAAATCCTATAGTGAAAAATGACAATACTATTTGTTTATGGCATAAGCCGGTAAACGAGCGGACGAATCACCTGATGGTAAGCAATCGGTGTCGCCAATGGACACCTGGAACATCAGACGCGTTACATGTGCGTTACCGGCCATTTGGGGATTAAGAGTTTAAGGATCATTGGGGATTCAGGGATTTGGGAGATTGGGGAAGGGAAGGGGGGTAATTGGGCCTCCGGTAACCTCTAACTACGCAAGCGTTGCTTCACGTCGGTTTTCTGTGAAGCCGTGGTATTACTCCGGTCTAGCCGGTCGGCCCATTTGTGCCGTAGAATGGCTGTCCCACACTTAAATTACTAGCCGATTTAAAAAAGAAGTCCTTATTTTATCCTAGGTGTGTAATATTCTGCTCACCTCTACAGAGCCTTCCAGCAGTGATTTTATAGTACCTATGTTGT